GCGGGCCGCGCACGCGCCATGTCGGCCGGCTCCCGTTCATGTTCTTCGTTCTCTTGGTCCGCCTCGGTCTGGTCGCCGTGCAGATAGTTTTGCACCTGGTGATCGCCGTGTGCTTCGATGCCGAGTTCGGGTCCAGCGCTGGTTTCCGTGCGACGGAGACGTACTTATGGCCGAGTGTGCACTGCTGTTGCTGCAAGCTCAACTCTGAGGCGAATACGGCCAAGCATGGACAATTCCGCCGCTGCTGGCCAGTCTTCTTCTCTCGTCATCAACGACGCCTTCGCGAGCAGGGCATTCTGGTTACTACGTCCACGCAGACTTTCTGTATGATTTCTAATACGACGCAATCATGTCGAATCTTCGCGCTTGAGCTAACACTCTTTTTCCGCTCATCCTGGCCACTGGGAGTTCTCGGCCATCTGCTGGCCTCGAGGATGCCGCTGCCCGCGCGCCGCAGGCGTCAGGCCCACCTGGTACATGGCATTGTTCGCTTGCTCGTCCTAGCGACCTGCCTGGACACCGCCGATGCCCGAGGCGCCGTCGCTGTCGCCACGCGGGTACTGCTCGTGCACATGATCTTCGATCTCCTGAGCCTGATCCTCCACGCAAAGAGCGTGTTGAAATTGATAGTATTGCCCTGGCTGGTTATGATGTTCGTCCTGGTGTGTGAGATGTTCCAGGTGGTGTTGCCCGCGGATCTCACAGTTGCGATGATTATTGCGGTGACGATGTTCCCCGGCAACTTGCAGGTGATGTCCGCGTTCCTGGCCTTCGATCTTACGAGCTTGATTCTCCACGCCAAGAGCGTGGTGAGGTGATGTTCTTGCTCGTTCATGACGTTTCAGGTGGCGTTGCCCACGGACCTCACACGTGATGATTCGTTCGGCGACGACGCTCCCCAGCTACCAGTTCGATTTCTATTGCATGAAGGTGCTGGGCGACGGACCGCGCAGCCGTACCGCGTCATCGCGCAGGTTCTTCCTGCCTGCGCCCACAGTGACCGTTGTCGATATAGCCATCTCCACACGCTGACGTCCGAGGCGAGTAATGCAGAGCGCATGCGCTTGACAGTGAAGATTCGCACGCGCTGACGGCAGCTCATTGGCATCTGCGCGCAGCTGACCATCTCGCTCCTGTCATGTTCGCTTCTGTTGCCGATGGCGCTGGCACTGGCCTGAGGCAGAGACCCACTCGACGCGACCACACGAGCAAGATCAACTCTCCCGCATATGCTCTATTTGGTGCCCGCGCTGCCCGCGACGCTTCCCTGGCGTCCAACGCAACATTCCCAAGGCATCTTCGAGTGCAACGGCAATGTCGGCTCCTGCGGCGGCGGCTTCATGCGCGCCGTTTCCTGCTGCTTCGACCTCGCGGGGCCCTTCCTCGCTGAGTCCTGCGGCGCCTTGGGCCTCAGCGGGGCCTCTCACGATTTCGTCGGCGCACGGGCTCGACCCTCCTCGCGCTGCCATTCGGCGTGGAACAGTTAGGAAGGAAAGGAAGTGAAAGGAGGTGAAGACGCCGAAGAAGGACGCTCTTCGTGGGAATCTTCCTGATGCTGACGCTGATTGCGCCGAGCAGCGCGCCCCTGTTGGATACTGGTTTGCGTGCCTACCTGGACAGGTAGTGCCAGGCGCCCCTCTCTTTCGATATGGTGATCCACTGCGGCCCCGCTTCTGCAGCAAGGCTTTCGCCGCGCATGTCGAACTCTTGCCCATGTCCGCCGATGTCAGCCCGATCCTGTTCGGCAGCCCCACCTCCATCGGCGACCCGTTCGCCGACCCCCCCCCCATCAAGCTGCCCGCACTCAACGTGCACGGCTCGACCTACGACGCCGCCGCCATTGCGGGCGGCCACGCGTTCGCGCTCGCCGCGAGCCACCTCGATAGCTGCAACTACAATTACGATTTCGACAACGACGACCTTGGCTCCCTCGACGCTGCCAACCGCCTGGACACCTTCAACGCGAGCCTGAGGGGCTCGGCGCAGGCGCGGCCATAGGCGCGGAGGGACTGCTCGCCTTGGGACGCTCGCTCCTCCCCTTTTCTGCTGCCCTGGCGCGATTTGAATAGAGTCGGCCCTTCGGCCATCCGGGCGAACTCTCTGCCGGGAGGCTCGTGCCCCCTGGCGCGGCGCGCCAAGAGCGCCCCGGCGCTGGCGAAGAGCCCGCGCCAGGGCCCGCGGGGCAGCGGCTGCGACGCGGCGAGCAGCCTCCCCCCCCCCACCTCCTCGCGTGAGAAGACGAGAAAGAGAAAGAGAAAGAGAGAGAGAGAGAGAACAAAAGAGAGAGAGACAGAGAGAGAGAGAGCAAGAGAGAGAGATAGAGACAAAAACAAATAGCAAAAAAAATGTGGAAGCACGCGTTTGTCCGTCGTCGGCCTCCGGGGGCCCTCGCCAGGCTCGGGGGCCGTCAAAAAACGCCTCGGGGTGGAAAGCCACCGTCAAGGAAGGGGACAGGAAATTTGTGGCAACACACAAACTGAACCTGGAAGTTCTAGCATAACAACAAAATATGTTTCCGCCAGTTCCCTGCCTCCCGGGGGTCCTCACCGGGCCCCTGGACCGTCAAAAATGGTTCGGGGTGAAAAGCCCGCCTCGAGAAGGGGTCTAGATCACTGGGGGCCCACGCTACGAGAAAACACGGTTCACGAGCTCTTGGTCGGCCCCAACTGGAGAGACGCGCAGCGCAGGCCACCAGAGGAGCGCCAACCACCCCCCAGATCTCCGAGGGGACGATGTTTGTGGAGCTTGGCGTTCCTTTTCGATTTCGGCTTCCGGGGCTTGTCTTCGGGCCCCGGGGCCATCAACAACAGATGTGGGGAAACGTTCCTCGGGAAAGGGGCCGGGACGTCTGAGGCCGAGCATCGAAAAATTCTGGTTGTCGGATTTCGGGGCATCAAGCGACCTTAGCCAGGCCCATCCCGAGGCCAGGATCGGCCTGGCCAGGATCGGTGCAGGTGCACAGGCCGACTTTTCGAGTGAGAAAGCACGTTCTCGACCAGGTCGGGGGCATTTGTAGAAGAATCAGCTCGGAAGAGCCAGTCGCGCACGACAGTCGTGACATCAAGAATCCCATCCAGCACACGCACCACAGACCAAGGACGAGGCGGCAACCAATGTCAGGGGTGATGCGTCCAGCGAATTGTCTCGGTGTCGCGGGGGGTCCTGGGTTTGGGGGGTGCACAGGATATTGCACACGTCCGTTCCTTTGCCTGGTGTCCCTTCCCTTCCCCTGACCTCCCCACCCACCCCCTTCCCCTACAATCCCCTGCCTTCCTTCCCCTTTCCCCTGCCCTCCCGTATCCTCCCCTTCCTCCCTGCCCCCCCCCCCCCCCCCCCCCACACCCCCCATCCAGGTTGTTGAGGGAAATGGCAGGAGGGAGGGAGGGAAGGCTGGGACAGGGAGGGAGGGAGGGAGGGAGGGAAGGAGGTAGGGAGGGAGGGAAGACGACGACGACGACGACGAGGACGACGAAGAGGAGGAGGAGGAGGAGGAGGACGACGACGACGCGAGGAGCAGGAGCACGAGGAGGACAACAAGGAGGAGGACGACGAGGAGGAGGAGAAGGAGGAAAGGAGGTGGACAAGGAGGCGGCTTACCCTTCTCCCACCCCTCTGTCCCTCCCTTCCCCCTGCCCCCATGCCCCCCTCCGTGGCGCGGGGCACTGCCCCCCCCCCCCCCCGCGAGCGAGCGGAGCGGCCGACGGAGAGCGCTGGTCCGAAGCGGCCGGGATCGTCGTCGCCGTCGTCGTCGCCGTCGTCGTCTTTCTACTAATTCTCCCTCTCTTCTTCCTTTGCCTCCTCACCATGCTGCTCCTCCTCCTCCTCCTCCTCCTCCTCCTCCTCCTCCTCCTCCTCATCATCATCATCATCATCATCATCATCAGCATCATCATCCTCCTCTTCCTCATCATCCCCATCCTCATCCCCATCCTCCTCCCTCTCCTCCTCCCTCTCCTCCTCCCCCTCCTCCTCCTCCTCCTCCTCCTCCTCCTCCTCCTCCTCCTCCCCTCCTCCTCCTCCTCCTCCTCCTGATCCTCCTCCTCCCCCTCCTCCTCCTCCTCCTCCTCCTCCCTCCCTGTTCTTAAAAATGGTTCCTCCCTGTCGCACCGCCAAACGTGTTGGTAGGGCGGGCCGAGCGTTTCGCCCGAGACGTCCTCACCGCTTATGAAATTGAAGATCGGACTAAGCAGCAGCGTCAAGGATAGAGGGCGAGAGGCATTCCATTATGTGGCTCGCGCCTCAGCGCCGCGCACACTCGTTTGGAAAATTTGCAGCAACCTCAATGATGGAAGGCGGCCTGTGTTCAAAATGCGGCTCTCGCCTCGGCGCCGCGCACAGTTGTCTTGAACGGTCGCAGCAACTCCAAGGATGAAGGGCGGCTCCTTTTCAAAAGGTGGCTCTCTCCTCGGCGCCGCACACCTTCGTCTTCAAAGCTTGCAACGGTTTCAGTGAATCGTCTGGTTGATGTCCCAGGCACAGCGTTCTGGCACGATTTAGGATTGTCAGGACGCAGTTGTCATTTCAACTCGTGTAAATTATTGAAGTCCCAGGAATTGCGTTCTGGCACCATTCAGGATTGCCAGGGCGTAACAGTCACGTTGTTTCGCGGCGTTGGGGTCCTAGGAATGATTTTCTGGCACGACTCACAATTCCCAGACGGTTCTCTTCCAATGGGGCATTTCCCGCAATGGACACAAATTGTTGCGGGGACCCATGAAGAGGGAATTTGGAGGGAGGGTTCAATGCAACATGGTTGATACTTCTTGGGTTCATGCTGATCCTCCTCCTCCTTTTCCTCTTCCCGCCCTGATCTTGTCCCTCTCCCTCCACCTCCCCCTCCCCCTCCTCCCCCTCTGTCTCCTCACCGTGCTCATCCTCCTCCTTCTCCTCTCCTCCTCCGCCAACACTTGTTCCTCCCCCACTCTCCCTTCTCTCCCTCCCTCCCTCCTCCTTCCTCTTCTCCCCCCCTTACGAAACCCCGCGACCCGCGACCCGCGCAGCTCGGCACTGAAGCCGCCGCCGGGGCGCCGGAGAGGAGGCGCGGCCGGACCGCGGGCTCCGCGGCGGCGAGGATCGGGCCGTGCAAGGCGTGCTTTTGCCCCTTCGGCAGGGGTGGGCAGTCTCCTCCTCCTCCTCCTCCTCCTCCTCCTCCTCCTCCTCCTCCTCCTCCTCCTCCTCTGCCTCCTGCTCCTGCTCCTCCTCTTCCTCATCATCATCATCATCATCATCATCATCATCATCATCATCATCATCATCATCATCATCATCATCATCATCATCATCATCATCATCATCATCATCATCAGCACCATCATCGTCGTCATCATCAGCATCATCAGCATCAGCATCATCATCATCATCATCATCATCATCATCATCATCATCATCATCATCATCATCATCATCATCATCGTCAGCATCGTCCACCTCCTCAATCTCTTGTCCTTATAAATAAGTCGTGCCTGTCGCACCCCCAGGCGTACGTGTCGGTTGGACAGGCCGATCGTTTCGCCTGAGACTCCCCCACTATGCATGACCCTGAGGCTTGAAATCTACGACAGCTTCCAGCATGGAAGCCCGGTGGTATTCAAGATGTAGCTCTCGCCTCGGCGCCCCGCACATTCGTCTTGAAAGCCTACAACAGCTTCACGGATGCAGGGCCCGTTTTCAAATGTGGCTCTCGCCCTAGTGCCGCGTACTTTCGTCTTCAAAGCTTGCAACAGTTTCATTGAATCGTATGGTTGATGTCCCGGCCGTGGTGTTCTGGCACGATTTAGGACTGTCAGGACGCAGCTGTCATTTCAGTGCGTGGTATTGACGTCCCAAGAACTGTGTTCTGGCACGATTTAGGATTGCCAGTGGGCTCCCGTGGAGGGGCTCCCGTGCAGGGGCTCTCGTGCAGGGGCTCCCATGGAGGGCGGCGGCGTGGAGGGGCCAAAGTCTGGCGGGCTCCCGTGGAGGGGCGGCGCAGCGGGCCAGGCCGCGTGAGCTGGGCACGGCGGCGCGACGCGGTGCCTGCCGGGCCGTGTGAGCGGCCGCCGCTTGAGAGGCGCGCGCGCGCGGCGAGCTCCTCCGCCGCGGCGGCGGCGGCGGGGCAGCGGCCACGGGCGCTCCCTGCCGCCACGGTGCGGCGGCACTCGCGCGCGCGGTGCCTCCATGGGGCGGGCAGGGTCCGGCCCCGCCGGGCCGACGAGGAGGGCTGCGGGGTGCGTGCGTCCTGTTCTTTGTTGTTCTCCCATCCTCCACGTCGGCGGCAGGCATCGTTGCTTCAGCCCCTGGGCGCTCTGCTTTTGCCTTTACTTTTGAAAGTTCCTGATCCGCACGGGCCTGCCGCCTAACTTGCTTGCACCACTGCGTTAAGTCTGTATGTTTGTTCATGGCACCAGTTGCCGCCAGAACGCTGCAAGCCTCGCTTATGGCATGGCCAACGTCAAACGGATGCATGCGTCCGCAGTTCGCCAGATCGCGCCCGTCGCGGCCGCCCCGGGAGGAAAGGGCTGCGCGCGATTTCGAACAGGGGTCATCAAAGACGCCCACGGCGAATCACCGCCGCCCCATGCCTCTGGGAGTACGCCTATGTGGCCAGACGTTTGTTCAACGTTTGGCCACGCTATTGGACCATGCGTTCCCCCAGCCGTTGTGGAAGCCCTTCGGAGAACACGGCGAGGAAGAGGAGAACGAGGAGAGGGAGGAAAAATAAGGATGAGGAGAAGGGTGAGCAGAGTTCTTGGGAGTTTCTTGGGGCACTCTCGGGGCATCCTGGGGGCCTCTTTGAGGCCTCTGGGGGGCCTGTTTGGGGCCTCTTGCGGCCTCTGGGTGCTTCTTGGGGGCCTCTTTGGCTGTCTTGAGGCGTCCCTGGCCCATCTGACGCCGTCGGAGGCCGTCTGGGGGGGCCTCTCTGAACTGACTTGGGGCCTTCTGGGGGCGCTCCAGGGCCGTCTTGGAGGTCATCTTGGGCGTCTTGCAGACATCTTTGGGGCCCTTTCGAGGCCGTGTTCGGGCCCTGTTGGGCCTTCATGGGGCCATCTTGGAGACCTCCTGGGCAATCTGCAGGCGATGTTCAGGGGCCTCTTGGGCCGTCGGAAGCCGACAAGACACAAACGCCAAATTCCGACAAACACTTGAGGAACACCAATGAGTTTGCCTTCTTCGGGCCTTCCTGGATGACCTCTTAGAGGCCTCTTGGGTCGTCTTGGAGGCCTGTCGGGCCGTCTTGGGCCATCTTAAGGCCATCTTAGGCCGTCTTGGGTGCACCTTGGGCCGTTTGGGAGACATCTTGCGGCCATCGGGGGTCTCTTGGGACGCTTAAGAGCTGTCTTGGAGACCATCTTGCTCGTCTTAGGCCGTCTTTGGGGCCTCTTGGGCCGACATCGGGCCATCTTGGAGGCCTCTTCCACAATCTCACAATCTTGAGGCAATCGTGGGTGCCTCTTCGGCCGTCGGAAGGCCAAAAGGAAGCGAAAACCAACATGTCTCAAACACCTCAGGAACCGCAATGATTTTGGCCTCGAGGGGCCTTCCTGCTGGAACTCTTGGAGACCTCTTGGAGGCCTCTCGGGCCGTCTTGGGCCATCTGAGGCCGTCTTGGGTGCATCTTTGGCCGTCTTGGCGACATCTTGCGGCCATCGGGGGTCTCTTGGGACGCTTAAGGGCCGTCTTGGAGCCCATCTTCAGCCTCTGAGGCCGTCTTTGGGGCCTCTTGGGCCGTCATCGGGCCATCTTGGAGGCCTATTGGGCAATCTCGAGGCTGCCTCGGGGGCCTCTTGGGCCGTGTTGGGCCGTCGGAAAGCCGAAAGGAAGTAAACGCCACAATCCTGCAAACACCTAAAACGAATCAATGATTGTGGCCTCGTCGGGCCTTCCTGGAAGCTTCTTGGAGGCCTCTTGGGCCGTCTTAGGTGCCTCTTGGTCGCTTCTTTGGCAGTCTTGGGCGGCTCTGTTGGACCGGACCATCTTAGCGGTCTTGGGGGCATCTTGGGACCGTCGTAGTGGCCTCCTTACAGCTATAGTGGGTTCTCTTGGGGCCATCTTGGCCGTCTTGGAGGCATCTTGGAGGCCATCTTGGCCGTCTTGGAGGCCATCTATGGGCCGTCTTGGAGAGGTTTTGGGAAATCTACGCGCTCTCCAGGTGGCCGGCGGGTTGGGTCGAAGCCCCAGTGGGAGTTTTTGTCGAAGGCCTTCGGCCCATCCCGCCACGATGCCTAAGGTTTTAGGTCAGAGGCCTCCTGGATGCGTGTGAGGATCTCTTGGGAGGCCTCTCGGATGTCTCTTGGAGACGATTTTAGAGGTGCCTTGGGGCGTCTTGGGGACCTCTTGGGGCCTCTTGCGCGCGCGAAACTCGGGGACTTGTGGGGGCATCGTGGGACCCATCTTGGGGCGGAGCACTCAAAATGTCAGTTCGTGTTTCCCGTCTTGGGCGCCTCTTGGGGCCGTCTTGGGGACATCTTGGGCCCCTCTTGGGGGCTCTTGGGCCGTGTTGGGGCGATCTTGGGCGGCTCTGGGGCCGTCTTGGACGCTCTGAAGACCGAAATGCGGTAATGCAAAGACCACACCCAAAAAAACCCTGATTTCCACAACTTTGGCCTCTTGGACCACCCTCCAGGGCCTCCACGACGGCAGCACCCAAGAGTGCCCGGAAGCGCCCGGAACTCCGGGCTGTGGGCCCAATAGAAAATATGTACAGGATTCGATACAGACAAGTCGAAGGGACCTGAGGACACCCCAACTCGTGCCTCTCTCGCACACACACACACACACCCACACCGATGTGTATAAAATTGTAACATATATAATGGATGAATACCGGACTCTTCCAAAAAGGCCCCGCCCACCTCGCAACCATCCGGCCCCCTGTTTGATACCTCCTCCCTGGCGCCTCCAAGAGGCTTCAAGACGGCCCAAGAGGCCTCCACGACGGCTCCAGGAGGCCCTCAAGATCGTCCAAGAGGGCCCCGAGACGCACAAAGATCGCTCCACGACGCCCAAGATAGTCCCAAGACAGCCCAAGAGGCTTCCAAGACGCCCCACGAAGCGTCCAAGAGGCTTCCTAAGAGGGCCCCAAGAGACAAACATTAAGTTTTGCAGGTTTTTGAAGGTTTTTGGGGTTCTCGCCTTTTCGGTGTCCCGACGCTCCAAGACAGCCCAAGAGGCCCCCAAGATCGCCCCAAGACGGCCCAAGAGGCCCCCAAGACGGCCCCCAGACGGCCCAGGAGGGCTCCAAGAGGCCTCCAAGAAGGCCCCAGAGGGCCCCAAGACCGTTGTAAAAAGGGGTCCAGACGGGGGATCCGAACGGACTTTCCGGGCCCTCGGCCCCAAGAGGCCTCCAGGATGCCCAAAGAGGCGCCCGAGACGCCCCCAAGAGGCCCCCAGAGGCCCCCAAGAGGCCCCCAAGAGGTTCCCGAGCGGCCCCCAAGAGCCCCCCAAATGGCTCCCAACATGCACCGAACCGAGCCCCAAGAGGCCTCGGAACTGCTTCCAGGAGGTCCCGAAGAGACCTGCCACGAGGTCGTCGTCGTCCTCGTCCTCGTCCTCGTCCTCGTCCTCGTCGTCGTCGTCGTCGTCGTCGTCGTCGTCGTCGTCACCGTCGGCGTCGTCGTCGTCGTCGCCGCCGTCGTCGCCGTCGCCGTTGCCGTCGCCGTCGCGTTCGCCGTCGCCGTTGCCGTCGCCGTCGCTGGTCGCCGTCGCCGTCGTCGTCGCGTCGTCGTCGCCGTCGTCGTCGTCGTCGTCGTCCTCGTCGTCGCGAGCCCGAGCTGCAGGCCAGACGCCCGCCTGGGCTCGAGCTCCGGCCCCGTCTCGCGGGGCGCGCGCGTGGTTCTATCCTCGATCTCCTCCTCGATCCTCGATCCTCCGGTCCCTCCATCCTCCTCGATCCGCGATTGTGATGATAATAACGATGGTAGTGGTGAGAGTGATGAAGACGATCACGACAACCAGGATGATGTCGACGACAATGTCGACGGAAAGCGACGACGATGACGACAACAACAGTGACGACAAGGAGGAAGAAGAGGTGGAAGACGAGGAGGATAACAACGAGCAGGAGGACCCTCGGAATCCAGAAATACGCGGATCTCTCAGGTAACGGTAT